TATATATATATATATAGATAGATAGATAGATAGATAGATAGATAGATAGATAGATAGATAGATATATCCATTTTCGGATCCACTTGTCCTCACAAGGGTTGCAGGGCATACTGGAGCCTATCCCAGCTGTCTTCGGGCAGTAGGTGGTTGACACCCTGAACTGGTTGCCAGCCAATCGCAGGGCACACATAGACAAACATCCACTTGCGCTCATGCTCACACCTAGTGACAATTTGGAGCTAGTGTCAAACTCAAGGCCCAGGGGCCAGATCTGGGTCACGACATCATTTTAGGTGGCCCTTGAAAGCAAATCATGTGGATCAACTTCCATGTTGCTTGCTAAAATCTGTACTGAAATGTCAAATTGATATATGTAATAAATAACGTTGAGATTTTGCAATAATTTTCTTACCCTGCTTACCTTCTCTTGAACATTAGTTGAACAAACAATTATAGTTGACTGATTTCAAAACTAGTAATCCATCCATTTTTTGTGCACAAGTAATAATATGATGAGACAGTTAACCCTTTCAGGGACTGCGGTTACTACAGTGGACAGCTTACCAAGTTATCAGGTTACAGAGTGCATGAAAGGATTAAACGTTGTTCCATTAACCTGCCACGCATGTTTTTAGGATGTGGGAAGAAGAAAACCTACACAGGCACGGGGAGAACATGCAAACTCCACATTGGAAGGCCAGAGCCGGAATCGGACCCTGCCCCGCTGCACTGTGAATTCGACATGCAAACCAGACTCTTTCCTATCATTGACCTGGACAATCAATATTGATAGTTTCGCGAATTGTTTTGTTTTAATGTCAATTATTTAAAAAATACATATGTGCTTATCCATCGTTCATAGTCTAGTTTTTTTTTCCCCTGTGGCTTCCCATCAAACAGCAACAGGGAGGCAGCAACATGTTGTTTGCTGACGGCAGCAGCAGCAGCATGGGGGACTCCAGTGCGCCTGCCTGGGTAAGGCGCATGCGTACTGTTTGACATTTTGAAGAGGCTCCTCTCCGGAGTGTTTGAACAGGAAGGCGGACATGTTGACTAGCCTGTGGGACAAAATCGGGGCATCGTCTGCAGCTTTCCCCACATCGGTGACTAAAAACACATCGGAATTCAGCTCGTGCCCGAGCCGGATCGGAGGGATCACGTCGCTGGGGCCAGGATACGGTTGACATTCGGTGACAGCGGCGGCGGGCGGTTTATTTATTTATTTTCTAACCGTTAAAAGACTTCCTCGACATTTGGAAAGAAGCAGAAGTCCCCCCCCCCCCACACTTTTCCCCAACACTTCTTCTTTTGAGCTGTCACGTTAGTTTTTGTCGCCCTCTCTTGCGAGGACCCGGCACGGACATGGGAACGGGCCCGGACTAACTCCGTCGATGTTTTAAATGCATTTGCTGTTGTTCGGATGCAGCGACTTTTGAAGCCCTTCTCCGCTGTTGGCATCCTGCGGAGGCTGACTAATCTTCGACCGTCGCGCTGCTCCTGAAAGTTGTTTGCCAGCCACATTTGGAGGGGGACTCTGTATAAAACATGTGGCTTTTGTACATCCAACGGAACCTCAAACGTTTTATCTCGTGTGCAAGATCGAGGAGAACGATGTATTGTCTTTAAAAGTTCCTCCAAGAACGACAAAAAACCAAACGAACATCGGGCTAGCGAGCTAGCGAGCTGTCGCTGGCGGCTAACGCTAGCTCGCCACTCAGTTTGCCTCCCTCTTTTTTATTCCCTTGAAAACAAGATACGAGGGGACTTCATTCCGCGTTAAAAATGTCTTCCGGGGAAAGTATGGAGGCTCGGTTTGGAAAAATCGACGCTATGTTGAAGGACCCCAAGTCGGAGATCAACACGGATTGTCTTCTGGTAAGTTTGTAGTCCGCTAGCTGGCTAAAGCAAAGCGAGGCAGCCATTCGGGCTGCAGCTCAAAATTCTTTTCCAACAAGTCGCCTCGCCTCTGGCATAAAAAAGTGATGCTTGTGCTTAGTAGCTCACATTTCTACAGCTTTCGCTCTGAAAATGATCTTTTATTGAATTCGATCGAAACCAGGCGTCTGTTTCACCTTTTGGCTTGCAGTTAATAAGCAAATAAACAAGTTGCCACTTTGGGAAAATTCTTCTGTTTAATCAATAGAGACATTTTATTGCAAAAGTAAATTGTGAATACAAATTGGGCACATGCTGAGACACACATCTACTATAGACCGCTTTGAACAACAAATCACGATCACAACTCATAGTGGTGTGTGATGTCATGATCAGCACGCCTAAGTATCTTTGACATGTGGCCTGGCTTGCTTGCAATCGAGTCTCCATAAACTTGATGACATTCTTTTGTGACCACTATATTAGACACAGCTGCACAATCAAGTGACATCCAACACAAAATTAGTCAACTTTGTTTTAGTATCCCTATAATTGCATGGTTGTAGATGAGTACAATATATCCCGTGGGGCACCTTTTGGGTTTCCTCGCATGGATGAACCACCCTGCAAATGCCACACACATTAGGCTATACAGCATGGATGTGTGCCTATAGTTGCATTTATGTGCATCTCCTCATCATACCACCCAACTGCCTCTACATTTTTTTACAGTTCTTTTTGACACGATTAAATTGGCATCACGAGGTATTATTCTGATGACTCCATAATCTGCTCTTTGCTGCACAGCCTCTAGCCTCCTTTTGGATCTTCTTCTTGTGTTTGAGGCAGATAGACTATGATATTTCATCCAGGTGGTTTTAGAGCCACATTTCTGATCCAGGTGGGGCTTTGGTTTTGGGAAGGAATGTGATCTGATTTGGTTTTACAGTTTCTTCACAGCCGCTGCTCCGGGCTTATTTATGTACAAAGAAGATTCATGAAGGACTGCAGCATGGCCTCTTTGATCAAATTAGTCAAGAAGTCAATATGCAAGAAGAGATGTTTTAGACCACATTTTCAGACTGGATGGATTTCAGAGAGGATGACTTATTCGATGTTAACTTAAATTTCAGTGGATGGTATCCACAGTGTCAAAGACTACTCGATACCATAAAATAAAGCCGGTATCGATCCACATCGATACCTGGTATTGGTACTCGACCATCCCTACTTAAAAGACATGTACAGTAATGTACCACAGTCTATGACATGTTCTGTTGTTATATTATAAAAGGGGCATCCTTTGTTGAGGACGTGACCTATGTTTTAAGGTCATGGATAGTTCTTAATTACCGGTAACTACTTTGGACAACAGTGTTCAAGTACTTGATCGCCTAGGGAAAAGAAGAGACACTCTGTTTTTGCCACTTTTACTGTTTTTCACCTGAAATTTTTTTCTTTTCATTTTTATGATGTAGAAATGTTTTTCATTCAAATATTTACACTTGCTCTGACTTAACTGCCACATTAGCATCACTGTAATTGTAATAATTTAGATGGCTTCAGGTGTGACTAAGACCATTAAGTGTTCACACTTAAGCTTTCTGCTGCTTGTTGGGGTTGCATGAAAGCGTTCACATTTCGCCAAACAATCGGTACAAAAAGTGTGAGCACAGCCTTTAACTTGTAGCTCACCACAAGAATGCCTTGTGGTTATGTAACTTCCCAAGTATTATAGTGCCATTGACTCATTCATCCGCAGAGGCTATCTGATTAATGGGTTTATTTAGGCCAGTAGTGCCAAGTATGTAGTCCAGCACATTAAAGGAATATCAGGAGCTTCTTTTACACGTCACCTTCTCACTGCCTTCCCAGGAGAGCCGTGGTTTTCACTCATGCGCCTTTCAGACAGAACTTAGCAAAGCAGGCGCATTGACGCGGCAGATGCATTAGCATTAACAAATGCAGAGTGATGTCAGCGGAAAAGGTTGAAACGAAAGACCCAGCTCATGCGATAGTACAGGAATATTGATTGGAGCAAACAAATTTGGATATCATTTTATCCCCCCCCCAAAATGAAGCTAGTGCAATGTGTATTATAACTCATGTACCAAAACAGCATATCAACTTTTGTCAACAAAGGTATTGATTTGAGTTAATTTGATATTGCCTATCACCGCTGCTTCTGACTTAAGTGTCATACCCCTACAGGTGGTAAAGGATAGACACAGACACCGGTGCACTTTTAATTGCTTTATTAAACAAACTGTAACAATATAAATAATTAATAAGCACCTTTATACACAAAGTGTTCTGACCACAATTGACAGCCAGTCACTTAACGGGCTAGCGGTTAGCCAGTTGGCAGCCAGCCGCTTACCTGAGCTCACAACAGCCAACTTGACATTCTCAGTCGCTTACCAGGCAAGGCCCTACCTTTTAAAGTCACACCCACTCAGTGTCAACGATATTAGTGTGTGGAACTGAGGATGGTGACACCAAGTGGGCAGCAATAATCATGTGCCCATTTTGTTTCTGAAATAAGGCGTAGAAAAAAAAGTAGTGTGTTTCCGTTTTTTTTTTAAATCTTTTTTTTTCCCCCCCCATCAAAAATATAAACAAAATAACCATAAAACATAACACAAGGAGACATTGAAACCCCCGCTCGCCGCCAAAGGCGCCGAGAGAGTTGGGTACCCGGCGGCTGGGTGTTACAGCCATCTGGTTACCTCCGTCCTAGACGCATAATTTTCCTACGGGACGCACAGTTCCAAATAATGTGCGTTTTTGGGACGCAAGGAACTTTCTCAGTCAAAACAAATACACAAACAAAAAAAAAAATACGGCAAGCCTGAGGATTTCATGGTAACAATAGTTACCGGTAGCGTGTCGTTTCCGTGGCGTCATTTTAACGGTACCGAAAAATATTTTAACCATTAAAGTCACCGCACACGACTTGACTGTGTGATCAACGCGATGTCACTGTGCCTCTATGTGTGTTTGTGGTGTGGTGTGTGAGTGTGTTTCTTCTAATTTACTTTCGTTTTGTTTTCAGTGTTGCGGGGGACGCAACAGATAACGTTATGTGCGCATGCGGGTTGCTATTTTAGTCCGCAAACTGAGGAATCACGCGGATGAAAGTTTGAGATGGTGGCGAAAAAAATTCACCAAGGTCTACCAAGTATGACATTTAAGAAATGGGAATGCCAGTCTGATTTTTCGTATGAATCGTCCAAAGGGCGTATCACTAAACTCACCTGGGATATATGCACAGAACACGAGAGCGAGATACGACGAGAGGCACGATTACGAGGCAAGTTGGTCATTAGATTTGTCGGCTAATCGCTATGAAAAATATTATGAAACAGTATTGGTTATTCTATAATTTACTGGTTGTAGCATGGTACCTTTATGAATAAAACATTCGTCACAAGGTGTAGTAATGCTAATGTTAACTGTTGGTAGAACTAATGATGACGTGTGTTAAATTTGAAGGTTGTTTGAAAAAAATGCCGACCGTAAAGCTTTTTTTCGAGCTAGAAATTCTCGGTCGGTCGGGTTACCGGAAACACTACTTTTTTTTCTATGCCTAACGGAAATACATTTTTATTTGATTTACCGATGGGATAATTGATAGAGGACTTAGTTCTAAAAAATTGATGGCTCGGGCCCTAGTCCCAAAACCGAAATGTGGCGTAGAAATGAATAGAGCCATATTGTTTGTTTACAACAGAATTCCATTCGTACAGCAGTGACGCAACCCAAATGTGTACATACTCTTTAAGTCACAGTGTCATCAATAACCTATGCTCAAGCAGTCGGAAAGTAATCATTCTTGATGTATGAAAACCACTTGTTGGCCATTCAAATTAAAGAATCAATGGAAAAACAGCAAGTGCTCAGCGGGCTACGAAAACATAACGTGGGAAAAGGCACACTTAGTAACCACCACGGTGGTACATTTTTTTCATTTGATTAATGAAAAAATTAAGTTTGTCATAGAAATATCTGCTGTTTTTAGGACTACTATGTTAGCATAATTTAGTGATTGACTACGGCACGTTGACTTGCGGCCAAATTCTGATAAGGAACGTGCCCCTCTGCGCAGTTTCGTGGATATCACAGCCTCTTGGTCTCTGTGACCGCCCATCCTGTTCAGACAGAGCCAATTAAAGTCACTTAAAAGTGTGCACACTCTGCATTTTTAATGTACCAAAGCTGTGGGGACTGCTCCCGCTGGCAGCTTTGCACACAAGCGTGTTGTTCCTTTTTTTTTTTCCCTCCCTGTTCCTTTTTCTTTTTCACCCCCTCCCCGCAATCTGCCTTGATCAATGAATGGAAGCCTTTTGCTGAGCCGCCGCAATACTCCGCCCACCGTTTAATAAAATTCCATCCTAATCAAATAAACTCTTGTCTTTGGGCTTGCCCCCCCCCCCCCCCCCAGTTCCCTCAAGTCCTTTCTGCACGCCTGGCGACGGTCGACGCAAGGCAGGCTGCTCTGAGGTAGCAGGGTGTGGGCTCAAGCGCTATTCGCCATAAACCAAAATTATGTGCACTGAAGACTCATGTTTCTGAAGGCAGCAGCGAAACAGGACGTTCGGCTCATAAAGCAGCCAAGCATGCTTGGTTATGAGTAATAGATTCCATGGGAATCCTCGATGCTGGCCTGTTAGCCCGCACTTTCTCTACCTTGTGTGTCTTTGTTGAAAGCACAACACTGTTGTGGCTTTTCTTCTCACAAAAGCTACGGGCTGTCATTTGTCTTACACCTTACAGCAAGGCTCTGGGCCTATTTAGGCCTGTGTTCCAACATTGTCAGCCTTTATCCTCTAACCCCCGAAATAAATCCTGCGTGGGTGGAAGAGGGCCTTATCTGGATGGGCAGTCCCCCCTCCTCAATCTTGTTCCAGGCACGCTCCTAAAAGAGGAATCGCAATGGACAGAATTCCTGACATTGTGACATGGAAGCTCCCTGACATTGGGGTTCTGATCATTGTCCA